AAAACAATAATAAATTGGTCATTTTCAATCTACGACTGTTTGTGGGACATTGCTGTGCGCAATTGGCTGCCCACAAATATACAGTCAATTCACTTTTCAATGTGTTCTGTGAAGCGCTTTGGGACGTCCTCCCGACGTGAAAAGCGCTATATCAAATGCAAGGATTATTATTATTATTACATGATCAAACACTGCAGGAACGATCCTTGAACAGTCATTACTGTATCTGACAAATGTTGTTCAGTGCTAACGTTTTATTTCCTTGATTTTTTAAATTTTTTTTATTAACATTGTAAAAAGGAACAATGCTTGGCCGAGTAGCAATTTTACAAAGCACTTCAATGACAAAAGTTAGAGGAATTTGAATGATTGAAATCTGACTGGAACAAAGAGAATTCCATTGTAAATCTTCTGTCTCAACTCTCCATTAAAGTAAACCACCCTGTTCTACATTAATATCTACACTATCACAACCTGAGGATGCTCAGTTAGAATTATGAACGGCCTCCAAATAATGAGCAGCAGGTGACTTTTATCCACTGGGGATGTAACCTCAAAATTAGGGCAAAACAGGTTTGGACAGACATGAAGAAACATTTCTTGCTGATGTACAACCAGTCATACTTGGTTTATAATAATCCTTGCATTTCATATAGCGCTTTATCATGGCGTTAAGACATCTCAAAGCGCTTCACAGAATAGATTGTTAAATGGATTGACTGTGTATTTTGTGGGTGAAACGCAACAGCCAATTGCGCACAGCAGTGTCCCACAGACAGACGTGGATTACGAGATCTGCCAATCGACTAACAACCGAGTTCCTACTTTACTGCGAGGTAAACAGAGGTGTGTGGAGTAAGGCTAAGTTTTTTTATAATAAATAAATAAGATAAATGTTATTTGGGTCAGCCAGGTATCTGATACACATGGAAAACCATCATTAAGCTTCAGAGTATGCATAACAGACATGCATAACCTATCCATGGGAATTTCTATGTGGTTGGAATGGAATGCATACTCTCCCTGAAGAGATGTACCTTCCTTGCCTAATTACAGAAAGTATTTGGTTACAAGTTGTCGAGAGCCAAGCCTTGCAGACCCCAGAGTGTGCATTGGGATACTGCTGGAGTCTAACCAGCTAAAAACCAAAAGCACTGCCTGGCAAACTTCCTGCTGTTCGTCCTGGTCGGACCACCTTACCCGTTAGGGCTTTGGCTTGCTGAGTTAACAGAAGCTGAGTAGGAAGAGTTCCTGGCGCCAGAATGTCAGCTGTGCCTTGGAGGATCAGTCCAGCAACCAGCCCACCAAGATCATCACGGGCTTGACTGAATGCCAACATTTTGTTGCCTAACATGTTGACAGCTCAGCTCCAAGGAGATCCTGGTCATTCTGCCCTAACCCCGCTCCCCACACACAAAAGGATCATCACCAGAGAGTAATAATGCACTGAGAAATCTGCTGTAGGATTTAGAGATGTTCTGGAATTTAAAACAATGAAGGATATTTGAATGGCTCGTGTATAACAGACCTTTCTCGGTTATTTTGTTGCAAACTCACAAAAGCAGACCAGTTAATGCCCTCGCCTTGCAAGTGAGAAGACGAGTTCAATTCCCGGGCTGGGCAAAACCTTAGGCAAGTTTCCTTATTTCACACGCCTCTGTTTATCTAATAGTAAGTAGGAACCTGGTTGTTAGTTGATTGACAGATCCTTTTCCACCAGTAACAATCCCTCAAAAAAANTGTGTTCACGCAAACCACGGCTGCTTGTGGGACACTGCTGTGCATAATTGGCTGCCGCTTTTGACCCATAAAATACACGGTCACTCCACAGTACATTCTGTGAAGCGCTTTGAGACGTCTCGAGGAGGTGATAACGTGCTATATCGAACGCAAGGATTATTACAAACCAAGTATGATTGGTTGTTCATCAGCGGCAAAACAACAATCAACTAATTAACAGGTGGAAGGAGTGGGATGGAGAGAGGGCCTTTTCCGTACAATCGAGCAATTACTTATCCGCGGTTGATGTTCTTCATTGCTATGGATTTTGTCTTCTTCCAATGATTGTGTCTATCCATTGGCCTCCCCAGAATTTTCAATCACTTTTGTGCTCGTTTCCCCACCCCCCACTCCCCTAAGCTTGGGCTCTCTGTGAAACATTTCCAGACACATGCTCCTAATGTAATAGGTGTTACAATAAATATAAATATTGTATGTTGCTGCTTTTATAATAATAATCCTTGCATTTGATATGGAGCCTTATCACATCATTGAGATGTCTCGAAGCGCTTCACAAAATATTCTGCAAAGTGAATTGCCTGTATATTTTATGAGTATTGAACAGCAGCAATTTGTTCGTCAGATCTAATATACGATATGTAAGGACGGAGAGTTTTTGTCCACTATTGGTTGTTTCCGAGTCTCATATCATGATCCTGCCCACGAGTCAAGTCAATGAGTCGACTTACATCAGTCTATCTTCTTATTACTATCTTCTCTATACCCCTGAACAGCACAAAAAACAGATCACTTCATTTTTTTTCACTGGGAAAACAATTTCAGCTAAGGGTGTGTGTGTATCTCTCTCTCGTCCTCTTCCCTCCCCCGCAAGTTCAGTCTTGAGTATCTCTGCACATGTTCCGCTGTCAGTCTCTCTCTCGCCCCACAATATCTATTGTTAGACTCTCTCTAATTTCAGATGTGAGTTTCTTTCTACAGTTGTAACTGAATCTCTCTTCTTTCTGTTCCTCGCCTTCTTTCTCTCTCCCTTTCCATCTACATAACAGCAAATGATCTCTTATGCTATTGCTTTGTGAAGGTCAGCGTTGAATATCACACAATAAATGTAGCGTCACAAATGATCTATGTGAAGTACAACTAATGTCTTAAATTGCAGGATCGATCAGAACCCTCAAAGCACATCCCAGATAATTGATCAGCTTTAAAACTTCCAAATTTGAAAAAAACTTTTCAGTAATAATCGTATCAAAATGCCATTTGGCTGCCAAAAAGTCACAACACTTTTCGATAGTGTCATCATTGTTTAAACATTCAGGACATTGGTATATATGGCTCAAACGCACTCCTCTCTGGTCTCCCCAGCTCCATTATTCAAAACATCCAGCTCATTCAGAACTCTGCTGCCCACATACTGACCCGGACCAAACTCCGTACCCACATCCCACCAGTTCTGGCCCAGGATCCACCTGCTCCCCATCACTGAATGGATCAACTTCAAGATCCTCACACTCGTGTTCAAAGCCCTTCAGTCCCTGGCACCTTCCTACTTCTCTGATCTCCTCACTCCCCAATCCACCACCCAGCGCCTTTGCTCAACTGGCACCAGCCCTCTGCTCGTCCCTCACACCCTCCGCCCCATCATCGGAGGTCACACTTTCAGCCACCGTGCCCCAAACTGATTTCAGTTGTGCACCAATAGTTTTCTTTCACGTGTGATGTTTGCAAATTTTCTTCCCTTTCTAATGCAAGGATTAGTATTCCTTACCAGAATATTTGTTTGATATAGTGTTTGGTTTCCACTGATGTATTTTCATGCACCGGTCAATAGTCTTCTTGTACTGCATCCAAACGGCCATTTTGCATGTGGAGCCTTGACAGCGATTCTTGACTCACTCAACCCAGAGCCTCGGGGCAACTTGTAGCTCCTCTACTGACAGCCTGACCAAGATCCAGTCACCCAACACAGATTGGGAATCTTTCTCCTACCAACTGGATCAGTTCGCTGTTCTGTAAGGCAATTTATGATCAACATTCTTCACTATCAAGGAACCCAATTGAAATAAATACAGGGTGTCCACAAAGTCCTCTTACATCCTTTTTTTTCTCTACAGCACTGACCAACAACTGAAACGTGGAAGAATGATGATCATTGTATTTAGAAAAACTTAATTGTATTCAGTTCAAGTGTTTAACTGTATTTAGACTTCCAGAGGATGGGTGTGTGTGAGCGCCACCATTTTCATGCAGATCCGTTACCATGTACGGTGGCACATCTTCTGTAACATGATGGAGTGGTGAAGCGAAGTGCCTCTCTGGCAAGTTGTTTAAGCTGCTCCGTAGCCTCATATCACTGTTTTGTAACAAGGGATAAAGAGGTCTTTGTGGACACCCTGTGCACCAAAAGCTGGACAGTCAATCCACATTACAGTATATTCTGTGAAGAGTTTTGAGATGTCTCAACAATTTGATAAAGCGCAATAATCAAATGCAAGGAATATTATTATTATCAAATACCACAACTGTAGGTACAAACAATTACAGGATTTTGCTGGAAAGGTGCACTTACTAATTTTAAAGGTATTTTTGTCTCAAAAGTTGCATTTATTGGGGAAATTGAGGTAATTCTGTGCTTTGCTTGAATTCCGTTGTTTCTAGTCGTCGAAATCTAGATAATTCATAAGAAAACCAGCACGTTTTATTCGCACATTTTTATTAGTTGTTGCAAAGACAAAGTAATCTATAGCGGGGAAGACAACACAAAATGCTTCAGATTCCTACAAGGGAGGGGAGTAAATAAGCGAAAAACGCAAGGATGTTTAGGCTGTAGATCGAGCTGTCATGTCCTTTAGTGCATTGAACTGCTTTCCAAATCTCTTTAATATGATCTATCATTGCTTTACATCATGTAAACGTGTTTTGCCAAGTGTGGAAAATTCAGCGACTGCAGAATAAAATAAATAAGCGAAAAATCCAGCGTACATCAGCACTATTATTAGTTGCCACCATTTTTAAACCAAATTGAAGGGGACTAGGAGACCACATCTTTATAAAAAGAAAAGAAATCGAGAAAACCTGATCTAGCTCAAGCTACGGGTAGAATTCCTAGCACTACAATTTAAAAAAAAAAGCTCAAAAAATGCAAATTGCTGGAAAAAATCAGCACACTCGTGGGTTGAAAAAACTAGAGATTAACATATTTAAGAATCAAAATGCAGTAGCCTACACACTCCCCAATATCTCCTCCCCCCTCCCCCCCCCCCCACCCCCACCACCAAAGAAAATGTTCACCACATAGTTGAGAAAAATATCAAGAGGTGCACACTATGTGACAGGAGCAGCTTAACCGTGGTAGTCCATTTCACTACTGAACGCTACAAATAAGTCGTATCCCACCTCCTCCAACAAAACCTACATTCTCTGGGGCTTAGATAGATAGGCTTCCATGACATGTTTTAAGCCAGGAAGGCGTAAGAACTGGGTGTGGACAACTTTTGAAGAGAAAACAGCTGATCCAGATACATTATATAGTGGGATTATAGTATGTTGGATTCAGAAACAATCTGCAGAGTTGTTTTGAGGTCCATTTTAAAAAAAAGGGAGCGTTTCAGAGATCCACACCACAGGGCTCAGCAGCTATCCAGTCCTGTGCTGAGCCCTCGCTAGTGTTTACGCTGCTCCCTTTCTGGCCTGTCTTACGTCATGACTCCTCGTTCCCAGAATCCTCGTCGTCGTAGCAGTCGGCGTCCTCTTCCTCTTCCTCCTCTTCATCTATGTCGTCGTCGTACAAGTCATCGTAAAGCAAGTCTGAGTTGTTGTCGTTGGAAGGCACTTTAGTCTTAATGCAGTACTCAGCCAGTGTGGTGGGAACCTTCACACCATCCTTCTCAGCTTCCGCCTTGGTGGAGAGCACTTGTTTCCTGACAATAAAAACAGAACAATATTTCAGAGCTTCCAACAGATCACACGCCAAAGTCTAATATGGCGCAATTCAATAATCTAAAACCCTGCCACCTGCTACAACTCTACTTGGGGGTCAATCTCATTTCCGACCTCTGTGAAGTCAGATCGTGGCCAAAGGAGGCAAAGAAGACACCTGGTGAGAGAGAGCAAATAGATTTCCAGCACATAGGCACGTGGACACATCCAGGTACATGCAAGTTTTCTTCATCAATCTTTTCACAAATCACTGCTTATCAAACCGTGTCAAAGGATTTTAACCCAAAAGCAATACATCAGCCCATTCCTTGAATCTGTTATTTATTTTAGGTTCCATCTGAACTGTGATGGGGATATAAAGGGACTGTCACGTAATTATTTGAAAGAAATGTGAAGTCTTTTGCTTAGTTAACCTGTTTTACATTCCTCTCCTAATCCAAATTTATTCCCAAACTCAAGAATAATTGGCTTCTCATCTCGCTGTTGTTTACAGGATGGTGCCGCCCCGCTTGTTTATTATCAGTCACCTAATTTCTAATTATATTTTGTCAAGTGCTTCAAGAATGTTTTTTTTAATGTGAAAAGTGCTGCTATATAAGTGAGCTATTAATAACTGTTTTAATGTAATGCAGTGTTTGTTTGGTTAGTTACACAGATTATACAGCCAGAAAGGGAACAGTTTTATACACACTTTGTACTTTAAACAAAATATTGCCAAAATGCTAATTGTTTTTTGAAGGTACTAATGTATTTTGTTAAGTAGATATTAATAACAGTGAAATGAGGAGTATCTGGCTATCACAGAATTTACAACCGCGTTCCCATCTGCCTGTTCAAGCTCTCCGGGATGCCACCCCATAATAGGCGCTATATAATTGCAAGTAGTTGTTGTTGTTGTTCAAAAATCCCGAGGCACTAAGTTGAAAGAGAAGGATGTTTCTCCTGGTGTCCTGGCCAACAATAATTCAGATTAAATCGGTCATTCACTGCATGGCTATTTATGGGACGTTGCTGTGTGCAAATTGGCTGCTGTATTAGTCTATGAAATACACACTCACTACACCTTACACTATAATTCTGCAAAGCGCTTTGAGACATCCAACTGACATGAAAGACTCTATAATCAAGTGCATGGATTATTATTTATATTTCAGGAAGACAGCGAACAAGCTTTGTCTGGCCATGGAGAAAGACTTCAATAGTCCCCTCTTTCGGTGAGGTGGGGCGGTGGGGGGTAGAGAAAGAAGAGAGCATTAAGTAAACATGAGACCCAACTCACTTGGGATGATAATTTACCTGCTTTTCTATCAGCTTCTCAAACCCCAAAAAAATTATAAGCAGCAACTCAAGTAACTCAAATTGATTCAGTGATTCAGAGACACAAGACCATAATATAATAATAATCCTTGCATTTGCTTTAGTGCCTTATCACATTGTTGACACGTCTCAAAGCGATTCACAGAATATACTGTAAAGTGAATCGACTATAAATTTTGTGGGTGAAACGCAGCAGCCAATTGCACACAGCAGTGTCCCACAAACAGTCGTGGATTGAGACACCAAATTATTCTTTTTTTTAAATGTAGGTCTGGTGTTCTGAACTATAAAGGGTGGATGAACCTGCCAGACACTATTCTAAGTGAACACGGTGGACACACCTACACTGGCCTTCATCCACACCCACATGAGCTTTAAACCCACTGACTGGTGCCACATTCTACTAAACAAATACAGCCAGTCACACAGGAGAATTTGATGAACCCACATTGTGTGATTATTCTGCAGACTTCAGCCTGGCACCAAACCCATACAAAGTGAACCTCATTTACATTTGATTTGAAATGCTCTGCACCACACAGTGTTTAGGAAGGCCGCTTCCATCGCAAAAGAGCTGTCCTCATTAGCACAATAATTATTTAATGGGGGAGGGGGGCAGGCGAGGAAAGAGACGTACTGTCTTATCTACAACCAGCACACTTCATAAAACCCAGTTTGGATTATCTGTAAATGTAACAGGGTCCAGGGTACGGAAACAGTGTTTTTTAAAAAAAGAAAAGGGGCTTATGTCTTGCTGCTAACTTGGCTAAAGTTTGTCCATTTACAGCCAAGTGACACAAGTCAAAACCAAAGACCTTTTTCTATCCATTCACTGGTTGCTTGGTCAATTCTTGAAATACAGAATGGAGTGACTAAATGGATTGTCTAATTACTTCTGGTATTTAGAGGTGATTTACAATAGAATAATAATAATCCTTGCATTCGATTTAGTGCTTTTCACGTCGGGAGGACGTCCCAAAGCGCTTCACAGAACACACTGTAAAGTGATTTGACTGTATATTTGTGGGCGAACGCAGCAGCCAATTGCGCACAGCAATGTCCCACAAACAGTCGTAGATTGAAAATGAGCAATTTATTATTGTTTTTGGTTTTGGAGGGATTATTATTAGGTGTGTGGAGTAAGGAAACTTGCCCAAGGTTTCGCCCTCTGCCTGGAATTGAACTCAGGTCTCCCACTTGCAAAGCGAGTGTTCTAACCACTGAGCTACAGGACTCCAATGAATGAATGGTAGTTGTGCAAGTTCTGCCTTTGAGGGGCACACAGGTAGCAATGCACATCTTTACTACTGCAGTGTGTTGGGACTTTCACAATGCACATATTATTATTTGGACGCTTTGGCCAGTTTGCAATGCTAAATGTTTTGTCTGTTTGCTATTAATTTGGATTGTGGGGGTGGCACAGTTCTGTAGAACAAATGCTATTTTGCTCAGTTTAAGGAGGGCAGTGGATTCAGGGAGATGTGGGAGGTTCGAGCATCAAACTCCTCAAAAAGCTATATGTCTTATTCTTTGCGTTTGATATGGTGCCCTTTCACGTCGTTGAGATGCCTCAAAGCGCTTCACCGAGTATACTGTAAATAATAATAATAATAATCCTTGCATTTGATATAGTGCTTTTCACATCGGGAGGACGTACCAAAGCGCTTCACAGAATATACTGTAAAGTGAATTCACTGTATATTTGTGGGCGAACGCGGCAGCCAATTGCGCACAGCAATGTCCCACAAACAGTCGTGGATTGAAGATGACCAATTTATTATTGTTTTTTTGTTTTGGAGGGATTATTATTGTAAAGTGATTTCATGGGGGGCTGGGGGGCAAATCCAATTGCACACAACATTCCAATTATTCCACAAACAGTCGTGGATTGAGATTTTTTTTTGAGGGATTATTATCCCCAGAAAGAGATCTGCCAATCGACTAACAACTGGGTCACTACTTACTGCCAGGTAAACAGAGGCGTATGGAATAAGGAAACTTGCCCAAGGTTTCGCCCGGCCTGGGAATCGAATCACTTGCGAGGCAAGCATGCTAATCACTATGCTACAGGACTCCATTAAAGGGATAGATTAGAGACCTGGTGTGAGCAATAATCCACGAACACACTGGCTTTGCAGCTGCTGGGGTGCAGGGAGAGGAAAGTGTACTAGGAGGGCTGTATAGGGTTAGGGTTGAATAGACAAGGAGGAGAATCTGCTCAGTGACCTTGGTATTAGAAAGCACATGCAGTTTTCTCACAGAACAGAGTGGGTGGGTGAGAGGCCTCAGTTGGGGAGATGGTGCACGGTCTATGGAAGTTTCTGGCTGGGATGGACAACTACGCGTTTCTCATTCTGTTAACCCAACCAACCCGGCCACTCCCTCTGCTCCATTCCCAGCCCCCACCGCCCAAATTGCCGTTAGCGGTGGATTTTCAGCCATTTTGTCCCTGCCCTCTGGAACTCCATCTCGTAGTCCCTCCAACTCGCTTCCTCCGTCTACTGTTTAAAGGCCTGAAGACACATCCCTCTGGCCGAGCCTTTGAACAATTACTGGGTGCAATTGGCTGCCGCGTTTCGCCCACAAAATAAAGTCAATTTACTTTACAGTGTATTCGGTGAAGCGCTAGAGACATCTCGAAGACGTGATAAAGTGCTATATCAAATGCAAGGATTATTATTATTATTCCCCCCACCCGCCCCCTTCAGCCGAGGTGCCTATTCAGGACTGTGAATGTGCTGGGATGCTCATCCAACATGAAGGATGACATACAAGTGTGAATTGTATTGCTTTTATGTTGATTACACAGTTATGCCTGGTAGAAGTCTGAATATCATCAGCTTCCAGCTGCACAAGTGTGTGCGTGCACATGTGGGGGGGTGGTGGCTGTGTGTGTGTGCGCGCGTGTTGGGGGTGTGTGGCGGTGTGTCTGTGGGGGGGGGTGCGTGGGTGCAGAAGAGAGGGGAAGAAGAGTGAGGGGAGGTAGGTTTTAAAAAGAGGGAAAGGAAATCTTTTCAGATCTCATGACTGCTTTGCAGCCTATTTTCTCACCTAATAATTTCAGCATATTCTTTGTCCTTCCCTTTGCTGTCTCTCCACTTTCTGAACATGACGGAGGCATCCACATTCGCTGGCGAAAAAGTGTTGGGTTCATTCAGTAAGGAGATGACGCTTAAAAGGATGGTCCTGGGTGGAAATGGAAACAAATTTGTCAAGTTTATTAAAACCCACACAATTTAAGCTGGTTTCACTTTTTGTGAGATTTTAAAAAATACTCCTCTGCACACTCTCTATTGTCTTGACATGTTTCCTGATGTACAGTGACTGATAATGCACCCAATATTCCACATATTTGATGCTGACAACAACAACTTGCATTGACATAGCAAACTTCACCAGGGCAGTGCCTTGGAGCGCTTAACAGTGGCGGAGCATGACACCGAGCCAGAGAGAAAGAGAGAGGTGAGGTGACCGTAGGTACGGTCGAAGACAAAGGTCTCCCTCCTGGTGTGATCTGAAGACTGACGGGGAGGGATTAAGGCAGAGTGTTCAGGGTGTAGTGGCTGAAAGCACGGCTACCGATGGTGGAGAGATGGCGAGGGATGTACAGAAAGCTACAGCCGGCTGACCACACTATCTAGTGTTCCACTAAGCTATATATATATAATATATATATAAAAGAAGACTCCCCTCATTTCACATCTTGCTTAAGTTTGAGAGTTACAACAGTTACAATGTGAAGACGAATGCCGTTTAGCCCATTTATTTCCATCCCCATCTGTTGCCTCATTGCAAAGACGGTAAAAATAGCAAATCAGGTGCTTTGCAGAATTCTTGTGTAACAGGGACCACAATGTTGAAAACAGCATTTTATGTCAATATTGCGTAACATTAGTTTTGTCCTTCAAAATACACTTTCCAGCCTCTAAGCAATGCCACATGTCATCTACTCAGCAAACAGTCGATAACTGCTTCCACATGTTGCTAATTTAGGACTCTATTATTTTTGTGCAGCTGAATATGGACGAGACGGAAGCCATATTCCTTGGCTCCCGTCAACGTCTTCACTCCTGCGGATCTGAAATCCTGAAGCTTCCTGGGCTCTCCCTCAGACTCACCAAACAAGTGCGCAATCTAGGCGTCCAGTTCGACCCCCAGCTGTCCTTCCTCCCCCACATCTGTTCCTTGACCAGGACCGTCTTCTTCCACCTCAAACACATTACCTGCCTCCGACTGTACTTTACCCCAAATGCAGCCAAAAACCTTGTACTTCCTTTTGTCACCTCTTGTTTGGATTACTCAAATGCATTCCTCACTGGTTTCCACAGCTCCACTATTCAAAAGATCCAGCTCATTCAGAACTCTGCCGCCCGCATACTGATCCGAAACCAGTTCTGGCCCAGGCTCCACTGGCTCCCCATCACCACACAGATCAACTTCAAGATCCTCACACTCGTGTTCAAATCTTTTCACTCCCTGGCACCTCCCTACCTCTCTGACCTCCTCACTCCGCATCCACCACCCCGCGGCCTCCTCTTTACTGGCACCAGCCTCCTAAACATCCTTCGTGCCCTGCTCTCCACCACTGGAGGTTGCACATTCAGCTACTACGCCCTGAAACTCTAGAAAACTCTCCCTCAATCCCTCCACCTTGCCCCCTCTCTACCCCTTTTCAAATCCTGCCTGAAAACCTTCCTTCTCGACTGTGCTTACGGTCACCTCCCCCCCAGTCCCCACCGCTCAGAGTCAGGCTCCTCCACTGTTAAGCGCTCTGAGACTCTCCCCTACGTGGAGAGCGCTATATAAGTGCAAATTGTTGTTGTAGATGCACAAGCTTTATAAATTGCTATTTGTGACAGCCTTTTTTCCAAGTTTGCGATGGTTATTGTAATATCAACTTCAGCTCACTCCCTCCCTAGCCACCTTCAAGGTCGGTCTCAAGACCATCTTCTTCGACTGCATCTTCGGTCACCCTCCTTCCCCTGCCCTCCTTGTTCTCCATCCCTCCTGATTCCAGCGCCTTGAGACGTCCTCCCGACGTGAAAGGCGCTATACAAATGTAATTTGTTGTTATCAACTGTTGCAAATGTGAATCTCCTGTCCTCCACTACTGAGGAAACCTTGGCTGATTTGCTCCTCCCCAACTCAGAGGTTGTTTCCCTGGCTGAGATCAGTTAACTCAACACAAACCTGTACCCAATTGCTATCTGGAAACCCTTGCTGAAAGGTGCAAGTGTATGGGACCAAGATTCAACTTTGCTGTGGTCTCCCCTTAACTTTAAGGCTTTTTTGACTATTCAGATGAGTATAGTTTCTCAGGAGAAAATAACATCCCATGCTTTTAACTCTTCCGTTTCCAAAGCACGCAAAGCTTCCATTTGTGAAATAATTTGCTGTCTAAACGACAACTAAAGGAATTTGATTTGAAAGTACAACTACATTACCTACACAAAACTGAGGTGTTACCAAACAACAACAAATTATATTTGCTGAGCGTCTTTCATGTTGGGAGGATGTCCCAAAGTGCTGGACACTCAAGGATGTGCACCTGAGCTGGGGGTTGGGATCAGGAGGGGAAGAGATCAGCCAGGAAACGGGAATGAGTTCAGCCAGGAAACGGGAATAAGTTCAGCCAGGGAACAGGAATGAGTTCAGCCAGGGAACGGGAATGAGTTCAGCCAGGGAACGGGAATGAGTTCAGCCAGGGAACGGGAATGAGCTCAGCCAGGGAACGGGAATGAGATGGTATTTTCTCCTGAGAAACAACTCACCTGAACTAGCAAACGTGAAGTGCATAGAAAACAAACGCTCTTATTTTATGAATTCAGAGCAGAGTGCAGTACCTGACGTTCTGGGTGGGGTTCCACCGTTCTGAAGGTAGTTCACCACTCTGAGGATCATCAACTGGTGGGTGGAGGATGGAAATGCAAACGTCTCCGTTCTAAAGTGAGATATTTGGAGATGTAAAACAAATTATTTTGGACTCCTTTTAAGAAAAAAGCAATACGCAGTTCAGTGTCGTTATTCGATAGCTGTATGCAATGATTGATAATTTGGTATGGATTCCATACACAGTCTGTCTCTGGGCTCTTCTCTCAAACGTGTTTTGCAAGACCCCGTATTTTTAAAGGCATTTTCTCCCCTTTTCCATGCATCCAAGGTAGCAGGGGCTTGTTTGCTGGCCTCAAAGCAGCTGGCGCGTTTGAGAACTCGCCCCCGACAGACCTGAGGAGGAGGACACTGGGCTCCAAAGTGATTTGCTTGACCTTGTCCCGTGGTCCAGATGCTTTTGCTGCACTCAGATACCTTGACTGCACAACAGAATCCCAAGACACCAATTGACAACCATAGAAATTTATGGCGCAGAAGTTGGCCATTCGTCCCATCGTGTCTTTGCCGACTCCCTCAAGAGCAATCCTTTCAGTCCCATTCAGTCCCATTTACCTGCCCTTTCCCCAGCTATTTGTTAAATTCCCTCTTGAAGGCCGATATGGATTCTGCCTCAACCAAAGCTTCCAGCAGGGCATTCCATATCCAAACTACTCTGGGTGAATTGATCAACATTTGACTAATTCTTCATATCAGAAGCAGGCTTTGATTATGCCGTTTAACTCTCAATGTGAATCAGTTGTATGCTAAACCACATCCAGCTGTAATACTATAGAGTAAAAATAGATATAAGTTATGGTTTAAGTCAAAAGAAAGTACTCCTTATTATGTCCTATATGTAAATTTCCCAGGGGAATGTCATTGACAGATTAATCAAAGAGCTTTTTCCAAACAATTTATGTCACCCAGTGGAATTTACCCGAGCATTCTATTTGTACCAAATCAAGTTTAATGTCAGCATCACAAGCTTAGTTCAGTTATTGAGAAAACAACTGTTTCCTAAATTAATTGTCAATACCGCTTTCTATTAATTTCCATGCTTCTTACCAGAATTTCAATAAGAAACATCACAGGGGAAATTAATTAGCTTTCCACAGAGAAAATGAAAAAATAAGTCAGAAGGCAGAAGTTTGCATGATCCGGTTACATCCAAACACGAGATTAGCAACGTGCTGGAAATGTATTTGTTGCATCTCTTTTGCTTCGTCGACTCTTGTCTCTGGGTTACGAGGTTCTGGGTTCAACAAGTCCTGAATCAGCAAAGCCATGGAGGGCTTTGTAGATGAGGACCAGGATCTTGAACTGTATCCTCTGTGTGATGGGAAGACAGCGGAGCCGGGCGAGGTTGGGGGTGATAGGGTCATGGAGCCTGGTGCGGGAGAGGACACGGGTTGCAGAGTTCTGGATGATCTGCAGCCTTTGGAGGGAGGAGTTGGGGAGGCCGACAAGCAGGGCGTTTGCATAGTCAAGCCTGGATGTTTTGAATGAGGTATGAGGGGCTCAGTGTCCTGAGGTGTGAGACAGTGGTGGAGGTGGGGGATAGCAGAGCAGATCATGGCAATGATGTGGTGGAGAAAGGATAGTTGAGGCTCACGCAAGACGCCAAGGTTCCAGACTGGTTCAGTGAGGTGGAGTGTGCAACCTTGGATGGTGATGCTGTCAGTGAGATGTACTGTCATACTGTCAGACACTAAGTACCATCCTTCAAAAGAGATGTTAAAACCCAGGTCAAGTCTGCCTGTGAATGATCAATTCATGATAATGTTTTCAAAAGCAGGGAGTGTCCTGGCCAATATTCTTCCCTTGTCCAAAATAATAATAAGCCTTGCATTTGATTTAGCGCCATATCACATCATCTAGACATCTCAAAGTGCTTCACAGAATAGACTGTAAAGTGGATTGATGTATATTTTGTGGCAAAGTGACAAATAAAACACATTATAGTCATTAATCTCATTGTTGTGGACCATTGTTGATGCAGATTATCTGTTGATCTAATCACATATAGAAGTCACTGCACTTCAAAGTTTAGTAACTTTGAAATGTTTGATAAGGCCAATTCCATGAAATGAAATTGATAAACCCCATCTTGAACTATTTTGGCAAATCCTCCACTGACTTATGCAGCCCTTCGATTGGGCTGATTTTCCTTCATTGATTTAAATTAGTTATTAAACAAATCAAATAAAATGTTCCTGGAAGGCCAGTTACACTGAGGACTTGGCACTGCATCACTGTGGAATTGGTGGTATTACTGCCGTTTGGGTCAAAAGTAATCTGAAATTGATTCTCCAGAAATGTCAAGGGATCACCTTGAGGAGATTGTCTCGACCAGCATTAGCTTCAGATCAACTGCTATACAACTGTGGTCTTTTTGTAATACATTGCACAGGCATATGGCATCTTGTGATCAGAGTGAGTCTTTAAGCAGAGCTCCGTGTCCCACGTCGACACCGCAATGTTTACCCACTGCAGTTAGTTCCTTCCTCACCATTCTCAAAGCAGCCACTGCTGTCAGACCAGCAACTGCAGCAGAACTGCAGCACCAGTCTCGGGTTCCACAGAGCACGGGTTTGCCTTTTGCAGATTAATGACGTGCTGAGCACAGATTTTATTCTGAAAGGTTTTGACAGATAGGATCAGGCATGAGTAGTGAATTAAACTGCTCAGGTAGAATTAACCTATTTAGATGCTTTTCACCATTAGAACTGCATTAGTGCAGCCAAGGCAAGTCTGGAGTAGCTGCAGTTTAACTGTAAGCACTGTTCCAAGGCAACCATCAGTTATTTCTGCTATTCAGTGTTGGAATTCTACAGCGTTATAGCAGAAAATGGCTCTGTGAAGCCTTAAGGTTGAAGCTTTTAATTTCAATAACCCCCTCTTTCCCTCCAAGTATCAGTTTTAAATAATAATAATCCTTGCATTTAATATAGCGCCTTATCACATCTTCGAGATTTCTCAACGAGCTTCACAGAATATACTGTCAAGTAAATTGACTGTATATTTTGTGGGCGAAATAAACAGACATTAATTTACTTCTGAAAATGTAAGGCACGTGGCTATTCTCCTTTGTGTGTAAATTGTCGTGATTTTAGCTGGGAGACTGCCTTAGAATTTAGCTAATTCTCAAAAGCATTAATATACAGCCAGTTTCTTCAATTATGAATGGCAAAAGGTCAGTGAGGAAGGGGGAAGAAAAACAAGAGCGAGATAGGAAAACACACTTAGAAAATGAGAGAATAGAGATGCGATTGTTTTAAAATCAGCATTTCGGCCTAAGTAAAATAAACCACTAGTTATATGGTACAATCCAATGGGTTATTTTCATAAAGTGGAGTCCTGTAGCTCAGTGGTGAGAGCACTCGCCTCGCAAGTGGGATATCTGGGTTTGATTCCTGGCTTGGGCAAGTTTCCTTACTCCATACGACTAATAATAATCCCTCAAGAAAAAAACAATAATAATTTGGTCACTCAATCCACGACTGTTTGTGGGACACTGCTGTGCACAATTGCTGCCACATTTCTCCCACAGATATACAGTCAATTCACTTTACAGTATATTCTGTAAAGCGCTTTGAGACATCTAGAAGACGTGAAAAACGCTATAACAAACGCAAGGATTATGATTATTATTATTATAAATCCCTTTCCTATCCTATTCCATAAGTTTCCAATGTGTAGTCTCAATTTATGGGGAACAGTAGAGTAGTAAAGGCGCACTGTTAAACAGATTCAGCTGCAATAGGGCTGACTGACATCTGAAAATTCTGTGAAATTAACCCTGAACCCCAACTATAAAAAATATTCCACAAACTATTCAATTTTTCCACTCATTTTTATTAAGAGCCTAGTTAAATGGTTCAGGTCCATAGACCATTAAGGGTCAAAAGAGTTGAGACCAAATGAAGCTCTTGGGACTGCATTATTAAATATAAAGTCATTCCCCCAACAACACCTTACATTTATATAGTGCTCTTCACATAGGGTAACATCTCAGAGCACTATCAGTATGGATGCAGAAATAAACTATACAAAAGAAAGATCATCCGAGAATTTTGCATCACAGACATTTGCCATGACTTACATAAATCTGTTTAAAAACTGCAGCGACGTTTACTTGGTTTGCCATTTATGGGTTGCATAGAGCATTTCAAAGCTTGCATTAATGAACAGAATACGTTTCACAGTATTGCCTTTAGTGGTAAACCATGTTAGTTTTCTGGTGCAGTTTGGACAATCCTGGCAATTGTCCAGTCTCTGAAAAATCATCTGGTGAAGCACCAAATGGAAGGGACAGTTTTGTTTTTGGTCGGCCGGGTGTCTGACACACGTGGAAACCCATCACACGCTTAAGAGTATCCAAACCAAACTGAGAATTCTACGCATCCCACCTACACATGGAAATCCCAGAGATAGTTTGTTGGAATGGATTAATTCACTCTCTCCCTAGAGGGACACATCCTGCTTACTTAATTCCAGAAAGTATTAGGTTGGCAGGAGCCAAGGCTTGGGGACCCCAGAGTGTATGTTGGGGTACTGCTGGAGTCTAACCAGCTAAAACCACATAGGTTGCCATTGAGAGCACTGTCTGGCAAGCTTTCCCGCTGCTTATCTAGTTAGGGCAACTCCATAGTTCTCATCAACCTCCTGCATCACACAGATGCACCGTTGGAGGTTCGTCCAGTGGCAGATAATGAGCGTGGAGGGGACAATGCAAAATGTTTTAAACTATAAAAACAGCCATGAATTATTTTCGTAATGCAGGTGACAATTGTGAATGAACATGTGAGATTTTTATTTTCCTTCCTGACAGGAATTGCAGGATTTCTCTGGAGGATTCGTAAAATGCTCGAAGTCACACGTATAAAGTGATCGAAAATGACCACATATAAAATAAACTTACCTCATAAATGTTGGGATGCCACATTTTTGTCAGAAATCTGAAGGTAGGTGGAGAATATGGATAGTCAATAGGGAACTTCAGGTGAGCCTAGGAGGAAATTGGAAACGGTAAATAGTCTTGTGTTAGTTATTTTAATACATATTTTGTAGATGTACAGAACTAAACCTTAATTTCAGCTATAACATGAGATTCAGATAATCGAGAGGGAAGCTCGATTCCATATCATTGTAATCTCACTAGAAAGTTTTCAGGGCAGTTGAGCACTGAAATATATAATTTTTGTTAAGTTTTCCTATTTCCTAGTTATTAATCTAGCTAAAATAAAACAAAAATACACGGAGTGCAAGTGTAAAAGTACCAAGTAAATGCTGGAAGCTGCATGCGTTACACACTTCATTGAAAGGATCTGGAAAAGCCATGTCCAACGCGGGGGGGGGGGGGGGGGGGAGGGGGTCAGCTTTAGAAATTACAATAAGGTCCTCAAACGGAACGGAATCAAATGGAAGTGCACTGTTCCAAGTGAAAGAGAGCGAGCGCTCCTGCTTGCCCCTTGCCCGCTCCACTCTATCATCGGTGGCCGCCAATTCACCCTGAAGCTTTGAAACAACAACAACAAACAGCACTTGTAAAGCTCCAGAAAGTTGTCCGAGGGTGCTAGACAATCGGGGCTTTTTGACTCTTACCCCCAATCCCTCTGTTACGCCTCCACCTTCCCCTCTTTTAGATCACTAATGAAGACCTTCCTGTTTGACCGTGCTTACGGCCACCTCCTCCCTCCCCCCAGCTCAGCGTCAGACTCTGCCACTGTTAAGCGCTCCGAGACTCTGCCTCCCGTGAATAGCACTATATAAATCCAAGTTGTTGTTGTTGATGCAACCAAACAAAGCCTGCAGCACAAACAAAACACCAGGATAGAATCCTGGACATGATCAGTCACTACTGGGGTCTTCCTTTAAGCTAGAGGAAGCACAACAATCTGGTCCATAGAGTTTTTAATGGCTGCCACCAACACTGTTCCACATCAGACAGCAGAAGGGAAGCTTACAGTAAGCCAGGTCCCAGGTAGTTCCCAATCCTGTGCTCACAGGATGCCAATCTACATGCACTTTCCAACAGCAGTGACCAACAGGACACAAGCAGTGGGAGTCCCTGGGACAGACTGCCAGGCTGCCTCGCCAGCCAAGTAATGATCCCCATTGGTTTAGTTACACACAAAGCCTAAAATGAAGATACCTGATCTATAGATATTGATTTTGGAAGGCCTGAATCATCAGTGTACACTGATATTCCAGAACAACGGTGGGATTGCTGGTCAGACTTTTGAATAAGGTATTAGGCAGCACTGTGACATGCTATCTGTGTAAAAGGCGTTGTATAACTACAAGTATTGTTCCTGTTGTCTGATCAAGTGGACGTTCAAGTTCCTATGATCCTGTTCAACATGAAAAAGACATGTTTCTCCTGATCAACAATCCTTCAGATTAATTGGTCATTCAGATTCACTACCAATTGTCCTGATTAATATTTCACTGTATAAACAAATCAGACTCACTTAATGACTAGGTGGGTAAAACTGAGCCATTCAGACTCAGGGAATCCAACATTTCATCCTTGGTCTGTGCAAACTTGGGCTATAAATGGTCTCAGTGCCTCCGACTCAGGAAGAATAAAGACAAAAAGCCAGATCTTCCATTTCTGATCACAATCCATAATCCATGGAAAAATAAACAGGTGCAACAGGATCAGATTCTATTGCAATGTGTTCCGTGGTTAAATAGCAGAACCACAAGTGACGTACAAAGGTTATTACTGTCAGCAGGACCTTAGCATCATAATAATCCTTGCATTTGATATAGCTCCTTATCAAGTCATTGAGAAGTCTCAAAGCAGGTTATGTGGGCGAAACGTGGTGTCAAGCTCTTTGGAGTGGTGGGGGGGGGGGGGGGGAGGGGGCTGGTACAAATACTTTATATTGGGATTAATCCAAATGCAAAATGCAAATGCAAGGATTATTTTAATCTATAAAGCAGTTGAGATTCGCTGAAGTTTAGCGACAAAATTTGTAAGTAAAATCATATAATAGCTAGAGGCAATCTTTCAATGAAAGTACAGATGTTACTGGAGTGATAGAAGCACTATGTAGGTTATAATTAACCTGGACCTTGAGGAGTCTCAGTATGGACCCAACTACTTAATTAGCAATGACATCTTAAAAGAGACTATTCAGCCCAGAAGGTCCATCAGTTCCAGTGCCCTCAATGGATTTCATCTACTCTTTCCACAAACCCATCTCTTTTTCTCTCAAGTATTTATCCAATTTCCTTTAAAATGTTCATGGACCTGATTTCAACAGGCATTTTGTGGCAAGGCATTCCATGTTCTGTAAACCAAAAAAAATCTTTGCATCTCTTTGTTAAACCAAAAAAATCTTTAAACGTCTTTCGTCTGGAGAAATAAACAAATTTATATAATTTGTTACATTGGAACTATTGGAACTTTTTATTGAATCCAGCAAAACCATTATTTTGCTTTGATTAGTCACCCCTTAACACGCTCTCCTCTAATGAAAACAACACCAATAATTCAAATCTCTCCACATAGCTAGACCCTTTCATCCTCCTTGCATGGGAGGAGGTACGCGGGGTCTTCTTGAAGCTAAACTGGCTCCAATGTGACATGCTTAGAATTGTAATGTCAGAATCAGGTCAATCTTCCATGGTGGTCTTGGATCCTGAGCCAGTTGAGTTCGCAGTACTCCAGGCACTGCTGATGACAGACCAACCAACTTGACTCATCAGTAGGACTTGGAGCGGCAGACACTGGTCACTGGGAGTAAGGTTTCTTCCAAGTTAGGTTCTGTTTACCCTCCAAGCCAAAGTCCTAACGGTAGGGTAGACCTAGCTGGACAAGCAGAAGGAAGCTTGTCAGACAATGCTTTCAATGGAAAGCTATGTGGCTTTAGGTGGTTGAACTCCAGTTGTACCACAACACAAACTGGAATCCCCAACCCTTGGCTCTTGCCAATCTGTATCTAAGGGAAGAGGGTGCACATTCCATTCCAAACACAAATATGTATGTATGTATGTATATATACAAATATGTATGTATGTATATATATATATTTTCTCCTGACCAACAATCCTGCAACATGGCTGTTTGTGGAACATTCATGTGCACAACAATGTCTCACAAACAGATTCGTTCAAGAACAAATTAGATAATTTCTGTTAGGAAATAATCTCTCGGGATACATGATATAGTTTGGGGCATGACAGGTCATGCGACTGCCAGGATGCAGGAAGGGGAACTGGATGGACCTTGGTCTTCTTTTGCCTAGAAAATTCTTATGTTCTTATGCAACTGGCTGGTGCCTTTCACACACAAAATATGCAGTCAATTCACTTTACAGTATATCCTATTCTTGCCCAAATGTGCACGTTTCAGTAACAGCCACTAGACGGCGATTAGGAGCAGACATTCTACATTTTCTCCACCAACCAAGTCACAACTGGGAAGCAGTATGGACCAAGGATTGAAAACTGTCTCTATGGCCTGGTCTCTATCACACAATATGATCACAGCATCTAGAAGACAGTATGTAGATTAAACCAGTGCACCTCTCACTGTTTACATTTTGGAAGAAGAGTTCTGCATAGCATTGCAGATATTTCCGCAGTAATCCCAGCTCACGTACTAACGAAAGGAAATTTGAAATGTTGAAGGGCACGACCTGAAGATGGGGAAGGAGGGGGCAAGATTGAGGGAGAGTGTTCCAGAGTTTCGGGGTGGAGTGGCTGAAAGCGCGGCCACCAATGGTGGAACGGAGGGCACGAGGGACAAGCAGGAGGCTGGAGCATAGTCTGCGATGTACAGGCTTGCTGACGTTTCACAATGAAACTGGAAGGAAGGCTATCGGGTACATGGTGTGAAGTTAGCCACTGGGGTAGTTAGTATCTTCATGCCCAGTTACTGCCTATTGGAGAAGGACTTTAGCAATCAAGGGCAGTAGTGAACGTGACCTGATGCAGCAAGTAGAGAGCCGCCTAGTAACAGCCAAACTGCATTCTCATGCAGGAGGGCAGGCTGCCAGGTTATTTATTACGGTTTTGAGATCAACATACAGACAAACTGCTGGAACTCCAGCCCAGAGCACCACATCGATCAGCTCGCATAGACAGCCACGTACAGGCTTGCTGACAAGCTCAACAGTTTTGAGGCAGCCTGAAAATTAACCTCAAAGCAAAAAGATGATTAGCTGGTAGACGCTAAAACTTTTCTTTTCCCATTGTTAAAAACATTTTCCTTAAACTGAGCATTCATTTTGACAGCACAGAACTTCAGTCTTAGAAATTACTTACTGCTAAATGACAACACTGCCATATTTAAAAACTATACCCGTGCTGTTCAAAGAAAAAAGACAAAGTCAGTCCCTATTAAAGTTACATGTACGGTAAAACAGTTTCAATAATATCAGGGTTCAACAGGACCATAACTTAAGTTGCCTTTGACTAGATGATCTGTGCATTTTTGCTGTGCAAATCACCGAGGCATCGAGCTCCAGGGAATGTGTAGGGGAAAAATTATCTTGTATTAGTTCCGAGCTTTTGTATTTTGGAAATAGTTGAGTAAAAGCAAGCCACAAGTTGCCCTCAAAATTAAAAACACCAGTCACCACTCCTTCCCTGTCTCTCATCATAGACTCAAAGTTCTGGAATAAACCCAAGGATGAATGGCCAGCTATAATAATAATGAAACGACAATCTTAACTTCCTACAAAGGTTACCCCACAAAGTGCAAGCAGCTGTTGGAAGACATTTCCTAGAGTCTGAGTTCATGAACGTGTGTTCACACATTCAGGGCTTGAAATCCACCTCGAGTGGTTCGCAGAGAGGTAAGCAACTGCTGGTCAAGCTCCGCACCTCCAAATGGTCAAATGACCAACTCAATTATCCTTCGGGGAGAAAAAGAGAGGAGAACAAGCAAAGCTCCTTGGAGATGAACTGGCTCCAAGGTGTCAATATTTGGTAACGGAATATTAGAATCGAGCCAAACCTCAATGACGGTCTCGCTAGAATGGATGATATAAT